CGAATCGCCCAGCACGACCGACTCGGTGCAGGTAGGAGCTGGCATCGTTGGATAAGTCGTAGTTGATGGCGAGGTTGATTCGCTCAATATCGATACCTCGTCCAAAGACATCGGTAGCAACGCAAATTCTCTTCTTGAACTCCTTGAACTCCTTGTAGCGACGAATACTGGATAATGTTAGAAGCAAGCACAACATTTAAGTGCCTGGTATGGCAACTCACCGTTCTTCCTGACTAACACCAGAGTGGACGGCAATAGAAGGAAAGTTACACTCTCTGAGGAGCTTGTCAAGCTCAGTGGCACGAACAGTGCTACGGACGAAAATAATGACCTGGTTGAACTGGAGTTCATCCAAGAGCTCGTTCAGCTTGCGATTCTTCTCCTTCTCTTCCAGCTTGATGTAGAACTGCTGAAGACCGTGGAGAGTGAGCTTAGTGTCCTCATCAACGTAGTGCTCGGTGGGGTTCTGCATGAACTTCCGGCAAATAGGCTTCACCTCCTCGGACAAGGTGGCCGAGAACATCATAACCTGCTTCTGAGGAGGTGTAGCACGGAAAACATCTTGCACATCCGTGCGCATATCTGAGGCCATTAGCGTACGTTGAAAGTTGGTTGCATGAGCGAGACTCACCAGGCTGATCAAGCATCTTGTCACACTCATCGAGCACGAAGATGCGAACACTGCCTAGACGTAGGGCCTTGTCACGAACGAGGGCCTTGAGACGTCCAGGAGTACCGACGATGATGTGAGGGCAAGTGTCCTTGTTCTTGAGTGTCTCCATGTCGGTCTTGATGGGAGTTCCACCATAGAACACACCGGTCTTGATATCGGGCATGTACTTGCTGAAGCGGTTGTACTCGTCACGGATCTGGTAAGCCAGCTCTCGGGTGTGGCACATAACCACGACGGAGACCTCTCCGTTCACAGGCTCGACCTGCTGAAGGGTAGCGAGAACAAAGACAGCTGTCTTTCCTAGACCAGACTTGGCCTGGCAGATGATATCACCACCGAGGAGTGCCTGGGGGATACAGGTTTGTTGAACTGTCGATCGAACCGATGTTAGAGTGGGTTTCTAAGAAGCAACGAACGACGGGTGTAATCTCAAGTGTCCGTCCATCGTCGCAGCTTAGCCATTGTATTCTCGCATTTACCATGAATATGGATTTGGAAGAGTTTGATATCGACGTGAGGTAAGGGCTCACAGGCCGGTTGGTTGCACAAGCAACCATAGCCTAGGAGCACCAAGAAGTGTCTTGGTGCCTCGCGTTTTCCTTGTTTTGCCCTCGTATATACCAGAAGAATCCGTTCGCGACAACGATTGACATATTATCCGCTTACGCATGATAATTCTGACAACAATGTTGTGGTTTTGCGGAGAACCACGTCTCTCACTCGTGGTCTTTGTCCGCCCGGATATGGACCATCTCTCAGATCCAGCCTTGACCGCGCCGACGATGACGATTGCGAAAAAAAGTGGCCATTTGTTCTTGCTTGCGAGATGGACGAACGCTTGAAGGGAGGGGATATGATGACTTAGGGTATTAAAATATCAAGACTGACCCTCCGATGGATGTTCGAAACCGCAGTCGCCGATGGCGCGAATTAACTCAGCCTTCAAAAGGAAATCGCGGAAACCGGTGGAATGAATGCCGACGTAGCTGCCCTTCTTGTCGACATTGTTGCCAGCAGCAAGCTCGCCTTTCTTGCCGTTCGAGGTGGTGGCGGTGGTTTCGTTACCACCGATCTCCTCATCGGAGTAATCAATGAGATCTTCTTCGTGAGACATGTTGACCGGGATTTACAGGTAGTTAGATGGTTGATGCGGATGCTATTGCAGAAGCTGTTCTTTGCAGCGAAGTTGCGATGACGAGTCTGACGCGATTACGTTCGAGTCGCGTCGTTGTAGGGTGTCGAAAAAGTGGCGCAGGCGTGCCGTTGAGATGGTAGAATGAGAATCAAATGTTTTTTTCAAGATGCAAAATGACGAAACGTGTCGGGAACCAGTATACTCGTTCCAAGGTTGGCTTGAAAGAGTCTTTGTTGAGGCTGAGAAGGGAGGTGCTAGAAAACAGGCGGGAGCAAGCAAGGTCGCTGCTGGCTAAAGAGGCCCGTGCGAAACTCTGTCACGTGACACACATATAGGCAGTGCTAGACATTTCTTTGCACTGGCGTATCACACAGCAAACTCAGGTATAGGTACCTTGAGGTAAGACTCAACCACCTCATATTTTGATAACCAGCAAAAATCCGCCATATCTCAGAAATCCCAATGGCGAAAGGCAAGGAACCAAAAGGTGTCCAGAACCGCATCATATACTCTAGAGCATCGTACCTCTATCAAACTGCCTCATATCTTACCAAACATTCCTCAACTGGGCAAGATGCTGCAGCAAAATCATCAGCCTCAAGCCACGGGCACAAGGTTTTCCCTCAAATAAGAAACGAGGAAAAGGCGCTGAAGAATTTGTCTCGTCTGGCCATTTCAGACCTGCGAGCTGTGACTCTCAAAGCACAAATACGGCGAAGTCCGGCTATGAAGCAAACTATTTGCAAGTTTTGTGACACTCTACTAGTCGAGGGTGACACCTGTACATCAACCGTGGAGAATGCGAGCAAAGGAGGGCGAAAGCCATGGGCTGATATCTTAAATATCAGCTGCAAGACTTGTGGTAATGTCAAGAGATACCCAGTCTGTGCCCCGAGACAAAAGCGGAAGCACATGCGACAGCTTGATTACAAAGAAGGCACAGAACATAGCAGCAATGAATTAAAAGTACAAGGGCCGGCTGCCCAGACAACATCACACGAAACCCCCATCTCGACACCAGGCCAAACGCCAGGCCAAACGCCGGGACCTTGAAGAAAACAAGAGGAAGCCAAGGTCGTCCAAGCCACGAATAGACTGACGTCGTGCTCAAGGACTAAGCCCAGCTTAAGTTGTATTCAGAGAAAATACGTCGCGCCAGAGACTGGGAAAGCTGCTTGAGTCTTGACTCAGCACATGATTGAACATGGAAACTGCACTTTTTCAGCTGCACTAGAACATATGTGTTCTCCGCTATATCCATCGCAGTTCAAGCTTTCTAGCTGGAGGTTGCCATCCTCTCATAGCATATTTTTATGCTGACAATAGACTACAGATCAGGGCTTTTGGGAAGCTGCCCGGCCTTAAGAAGAAGGCCGGGAGCACTGGAGAAGCTTATAAAGATATCGATGCTATAATTCTACCAAGCTCTTACACATCAGTCAGCAGGAAGCATAACTTCTTGTTGAGAGGATGTTTTTTTTTGGACAAAAGCGGTTTCAGAGCGATTTGCGATACGCCTAATGGAACATAACTCATGCTGAATTTTCGCCATCCCTTGTCAGAAAATCACTTTTCTGTCTCTCCCATATTGGCTAATCAATTGCTACTTTCCTGGCTGTCCAGCTTCTTTGACACTTTCCTCTCCCAAGACCTTGCTTGCTGCCATGAACCTGTCCATCAAGTCAGCGACTCTGCTTCATATATACACCACCATCATCTATTGGATTGAAAACACTTACAAACCGCCATGCCAACTACCAAGTCCACGCATAGCTTCTGCTTGGACACTTGTCATCCGTAGCAAGTTCTCGGTGTCGGACAGATTTGATGACAACTGTGCGAGTTGAGAATTTAGCTGTGCCTGGGTTAAGTTAGATATCATTATCAAATGCTGTTTTCATTTAGGACAGGTCCGCTCTGCCTGCCCGAGTCCTTAAATTCACACGATCAGGGAGTTGATTGAAAACTACCAGTGATGTAACAAGGGTTGAGGGAACTCACGAGTTGCCGTGTCTTGACAGCACTTCCACTAGTGGCCATGCTCTGTCGCACCTGTGAACCACTCACGTTCCGCGTCGCCATTGCTTTGTTGGATGTAATGTGGTAATTTTTCTCCCTAACTTCGAATCTCCTTGCGAACTGGTGAAACGAGATGACCTCTCTTTTGGTGAAGGATCGCCGGCGTCCCAGAATTCAGAAGAAGGAATACTCGGGAGTAAGAAAAGGACCAACGGTTCTTTTGCTGTATGCTCGTGTATGCGAGGCAGTCTTCTGGAGATGCAATTCTGCTGACCCTAGGTACTTGTAGGTGTTCAAGGTTGGTAGGCCTGATGGAACATACTTTATCTGGAGAAAGGCAGTGATCTGGGGTTTGTTTACAATAGCGATCTATACAGTACTTTACTAGCGGGTGATTGGCCCGTGCGTTTAACAATCATTGATTGGTTCCGCAATATGTTTGAAGCAGTCTGTTTCAACATTCAAACAACAGCTTATTTATAGATCCAAGGGCCGCACTTAACCGTTATTCAACTGTGCTTATCAATCTGTCTCTAATATATTCCTCTTCCGCGGTGTTTTGTCGCAAACAGAACCTAATATTTATTGGATGTAGTGGTTACCTTATATGATATCCCGAATCAAGTAAAGGGTGTCTTACAGCCTTGTTGACCTTCACCCGAGGATCCTTGGTGACTTTAGGCTGACAACTGAATGCTCACTCTGTTCAGGGATTTTTACACTAAGGAGCGAATAATGTCTGCCTAACAGCCTACAGCCTAGAAGAGCACTGTGATCGACAAAGTCCCCCATGTACCTTTCAGCTGTAGGTGTCCCTAGTGGTTTAATATCCTACTTCGTTTGTTCCTTCGACGTCATAACTGCTAACAACGACTTGGCTAGTGCAGCTTGTCTACGGCGCGAAGGAATTGAGTGTAGATCAGAGGATCGCGGTTTGCCAACTGTACGTAAAGGGCCAGATGATCCAGCCGTAGCGTAGTCTGGGCCTATTAGGATATTGAGTAGCCAAGGCTCAGTGTTGACTAGATAAATCCTTCTATAGACACGCGCAGATCGAAATACTATGTATGTATCTATATCTAGACATCAAGCCCCCCACACTAGCATTGTGACTTGATTTTAAGCTTAATTGAGACTTAATTTGTTATGTCATCTTTGCCTGCGTGTTCGAATATGAAAGCATTTCTCCCAATTTTTGCTTGGACCTCCTCGGCCATCGCATTTGATGGTGGATACGGGACGGGTGGAAGCCCTGGTAACATGAGCGAGCAAGCATGGCAATCTGCTTTCGAGAACCCCAACGCAACAGGTACCTATGAATTTGAGGCGTATAATGTATCGGAAAGATTCCCGCCAAACAAAACTGTTGACGGATGGACGGCTACCATTCGCGTAGCCAATATTACGGACGACCCTGAGGACGATACACCTTATCCCGGCATCGACATCAGTGTTCAAGCACCAGAGGGAATGAGGGTCCCAATGCTGAACAGCAGTCGTACGAACTCTTCAGACTGGCATGTGTGTGTTGCTTTCTGGGGACCCAGTCGCCTGAAGGATGAAGCAACCGGCGATGCACAACACGACGATGGAGACTGCAGCTCGTTCCTTGACGAAGACTGCCTACAGGCCTTGAACACAGAAGCAGCTGGATATTACTGGAGCGGAGAGGAGTGCGCAATGCTGCCACATATGCCAGTTAAATGTGAGAAGTATTACAAAGACTACGGCCCAACGTATGGCGGAGTTCGTAAGTATAGCTTCACAACCTATTCGAGCAAAAGGACACTAACCCCCGATATAGCTGGGGCGAATCTGAGTCAATTTGGCAGCGGAAAGACCTTGATCAGCCAACGTCCACAGACGGCTGGAAAATATAATGCGATGACCCAAGAGGAAGCATATGATTACGCTGTGCGTGGTGTCTGGACTGTGATGATCAACTGGGGTCGTCGTGATCACGACACGTATAGTCTAGACGATGTTTTACAGCCTTCGCTGTTGTGCCTGCGCACCAGGAACATCACTGGAGGCAGTGAGGATCCTAACGATGGCACAAGAACAACTGGCTATGTACCTCTGGCTGCTTTCTCAGCTTTGATGACCACGCTGTTGTTGGCATATTGAGTCGAGGTATACAGTAGTAAAGTGGCTCTCTGCCGGATGCTGAGAGGATCGGGCAATGGATATTGTTGACCATCAGGTTGCTTCTGGCTTGTCCTTCAGGTAGATAGATAATTCAGCTCATGATACCAATGGTTTCTCAAACGTGATATAGAAATCTTTGACCATCATTTCATCACTTTTCTCTTCCATACTACTATTTCGTATCTATATATATTTCCAATAGGAATGCTCCCAATGCCGTGGATGGCTTTCCTATTCACATTCCACAACGTCTCGCGATGAACAGATTTAGCCAGAAAAAGAAACAACCATCCGTAGTCTAATTTGATTGTGTAACCCCACCAAGAAAAACAATGCCTATCATGATCCCTCCTCATTTGCTAAGTCCGTTTGACCTTTCATGACATGTCCACGCAAACTTCTGGAGGGCGCTTCAACAATCAAAGGAAAACAAAGACTTGCTCCCAGCTGGTGCAATGCCTTTGATCTTAATCCACCCACTTCCTCGTTTTTCCACCGGCACATTCATTATTCAGTCCCAACCTGTCCTTTGTAAGGCGGGCTTTGCTTTCTCCGAAATTCTCTTCCTTGCGCGAGGCTGTCCCAATATGTCAAAGCAGAACCAAGACTCGGGCGTCTCATGAACGGAGCCTTGAATAATTGAGAGCCGATTATATGCTAAAAGGCACCAGTATATCTTTCCCAATTCCAATGCATTATTACCAAGGATAGACTACTTCTGTTTGGTTGTTCAATGTATGTACGGATTGTATCGATAGGAATAATTAAAAAGACGTCGTGTCTGAGAATAGTCCAAAGTGACTGTGACTCTTGTCGTGTCGTATCGTGTTTTCGATGGAACTCGGGCGTATGATAAAACAAAATGAAATAGGGCCGTCCTCGTCGAGGTGTGTCGTATAGTTGTTCAAGCCAGATGCATAGATGTAGTACACATGGCCTCAACCGGGCTTCGCGACGGGATCAATAAATGATCCCGTTCAAGCGATGCAGAAAGCATGACCGGAACTCCGGAACTGCGAAAACAAGAATATCAAAGCATTGCTGGAAAGGCGTCATGGATGGAACCGTGTGTTGGAACCTGACGTCCTAGGTACTCCGTTGAATATTATCGCCGTGTAGAGCGTCCTAACGCACACCGATTGGCGGTCGTGGAGGCAAGCTGCCTTGACTGCTGTTTGCAGACTGTTCCGAATCAAATTCACCACTGCCCGCGCTGGCGCTCGCACTACCCGTCAGACTGCGAACATTCCTAGGCTTAGTTTGGTGGAGGGCGCTCACCCCAATATGTTGTTCAACTTGCTGTGGTGCTACTGAGTTACCGTGACCAGGTGGGTGACGAGGGACAGGTTGGCGAACACCATCCGGCGGTGATGGTCGGCCGTTCATGCCCGGGCCAGGACCGTAACCGCCGGGAGGCGATCCCCGTCGGCTACCGCCTCGCATGGATGGAGTATAAGGATTCCCGGGAGACTGGCTGGCGCGCCGGGGATAGGCACCATTCATCCCGGGAGGTCCACCGGGACCTGGGCCGTACTGCATCTCGTCAAGCCTTGACGCTGTTAGTGAGTTTGCTCGAGAGCCTGCGTTCATCGCTCCACGGTCAACGGATCCATAACGATCCGAGGAACAGCTCATGAGGGGGTCTTCCAGGATGTTTTCAGAAGTCATGGAGCTGTGACCAACTTGAGAAGATCGGTTGCGGCCGAAGTTGGGCCTGAATCGGCCGCCTCGTGTAGGAGGCGGCATGTCATCGGGATTACGGCGAAACTGCCCAGGGCTTGGTCCTGGAGCCTTTCGATTCTTTCTCGATGTAACGCTCATCATATCGAAGTTGTCTGGATCGATCAGCGGAGGGCCAGGGTTGGCAGTAGGATCAAAGTAATCGTCATCGTCATCATCGTCTTCGTCAAACACCTGCTTGCTGTTGCGCATAGGATGAGGGCCACGACGAGGGCCAGGGCCTCCAGGAGGGCCAGGTGGCGGTCCACGGCGCATTCGCATTTCTTGCTCACGAATTGCCATTTCACGCTGCCGTAAGGCCAACTCTCGTTCTCTGAGATTAATGTCTGCTGGGTCACCATTGACGGATGGCTCGGAACCTTCGGGGATATCGTCATAAAGAACGAGATGAGAGAATTCTTCCAGGTTAGTCTCCTCCAATGAGCCTCTCCTTGAAGGCTGACGAGATCCAGGACCGTTCATCGGAGGAGGTCGACCATAACCATTGGGTGGTCCGCCATTCATCGGGGGCGGCCCACGGCGCATACCGCCTTGGCTGAAGTTGGAAGAGTTCCGAGGCCTGGGCTGGCGAGGGGGGATACCATTTCCGTTGGGCATACCGTTCATCATGGGTCGATGGCTGTTCTGTGAAGGCATTCGAGGCACAGGTGCCGCGGAGGGGGAGGCGGGTGGTATGATATTCGCATTCGGGTCGCCAGGTTTGGGTCTGCTGCGGTTGACCAGGTTAAGGTTATGAAGAATCGAGTAAAGTGTCTCGATACGAGGAAGGGAAATATTCGAGTCTCTAGCCAGTTTGACGGGCGATCCTAGGTACGTCTCAACCTCCATAGGTCTTCGAGCAACGTAATCCTGCCACATTATGCTCTCTCCGGAAGCTTTGGACATCTCATCAATCGTCTTCTGCTTGAAATCGGGATCAAATTTGCATCCATTAGCATCAGCTAGACGAAGCAGCTCGTCAATGACCTCCGATACCATGTCCCTAACGCCAACCTTTTCCAAGAGCGAGGCATGGTTGGGAGTTTCGAAGATAACGCTAATCGGATGGAACGCAATAGGACTGTAACGTCAGTTAGTTGAGTTTCAAGGCGTTTAGATGAAAGACGAACCCTATCACTCTCTCGTATTGCTGTTGGCGGATATTTGGCGAGACTTTGCATTCCACTTGGCCAGAACTAAGTGTCATTGCTAAGGCCTGTGCCATGTCCTCCTGTATGGTTTGTGGGATATTGTTCGGGTTATTAGCAGGACCAATCCAGATGTCTGCTGGCCCTTTATGTTCAAATTCACTCTGGCCGAGTTGTGTGAGCTCAGCGCCTGAAACAAGCGATAGGACGACATTGGTAGGAAATCGCTCCTCCAAAGCAGCTTCGACTCCGAGAGTATGTGTTGTGTTGACGATGATGCATGTATGTTGAGGGGTGACGACCGAATCAATGACTGAGGCGAGATCATAGACATCAGGTAACGCCTTGACGCAGAGTACGACATAATCGAATGGGCCGTCTCGAGCGCTCGCGGCATCCTCGGGATTTCGAACAACTTGAAATGTTATCTCAGCATGCTGGACGAAGGCAAGGGAATTGTTTAACTGTACCATGTCGAGGCTTGAATCTCTCGTTGCCAAATATTGGGGATCTTGATTGACAATCAGCATATTGTTGGAGTCATAGCGCATTGGTTCACAAACTTGAACGAGATACCGTATTGTGCCACATGCTCGTAACCAGACTTCCAAACGAGCGTCACATCACACGCGTTGGTGGCCTGGAGCCTCCATGATAGGAACGCCGAGACGGGATTGCCTCCCACTGAACAGACTGACATTAGCTCACTGTTGGCCATGATGAGCGACAAGAGTGGGACGCTGCACGAGCAACCGTCCTGACGGTTGACGTGAGGATTTCAAGACAAACGAGTGTAAGGAATACAAGAGACAGAAAAGTTTTTGAGAGATTGTGTCAACTGATGAAGGATTGAGTGGGATCAGTTGATCTGAAATGACGCGACCGTCCACTTCTGGTTTCTGCGTGAACTAACCCTAGGTATGAAGGGAGAATTGTAAGAGAAGAGACGACAAACCTGATAGAATCTTGAGCCGGGGCGATACAGGCGCCATAATGTCTGGCGGGTCCTAATGTGGAATAGTGGCCTTGTCCAGTCTGAGGGTGTAGCGGAGCGGTTTCTAACGACGGACCCGTAGTCTTGGGGCGTATATTGGGTACCACAACACAACAAGATCGGGACTGATGGAAGTACCTGTCTAAGCAAGGATATGTACGCTCAAACTGACGATGATTGTCGTTTATTGTGAATAGCGATGCGGGCGACGAGGATCAAAGACGATAGCGCAGCTCAATTGTGCATGTAGCGGCTCGGGAGAGGAAAGCTATCGAATGGGAACGAGGCCAGCGAGGCGTCGGTGGGCGAGAAGACGGCAGTGATAGTGACAGCCAGCCGTAGAATCAACGAGCGACAGGGCCTAAATCGTGGCGTACCAGGGGGAAGCACAGCGGCGTCTCGTGCGTCAACTGTCGATAGGCAATGAAGGAGCAAGAAATCTACAAGCGGCCAGTAGTGAGTGTGATGAGTGGGACGAGAGCTGAGATGGCCTCGGTGGACGGTGCACCAAACGGGGTGTGGGAGATTGTCTGGGGATTGTAGTCGGACGGACTGTAGGAGCGAGAGTGGGCTGAGCTGAGAAGCTGCAACAAGAATTGGGTCCTTGTTCAAGCTTAGAAATCTCACAGCGGGCGCGGAAGAAGCTGTGCGGACTCGGCTCTAGGAGGATTTATCGGTACGAGTACGGCGGGCCACCGATTGTCCCTTTTTGCGATCGACTACGCTTACAGCTTCTGCGCTGCCTTGACTAAATTAATCAGCTTCGGGTTGATGAAAGAGAGGGTCGCCTGGTCTTTGGTGTGTTGTGTTTCGCCTGTAAAATGATGATATGGCCCGTGAATGATTGGGCCTCGATTTGAATTGAGGTGGCAGGGGGGTAAGGCGCCGCCGAGAGAGAAAACTCAAGTAGTGCAGTGCCTACCTGAAGTGTACTTGGCAGAGACAACCACTGTAATCTCTCTAGGGACCGGGATGTTGAAGATGTTCTGGAGAGGCTAGGCTAGACAATTTTGACAAGAGGAAAGTGAGAGGAGGCGTGTGGGAGAAAGAGAAGATGCGAGTGGACAACAGACCAGTAAAGATAGGCCAAGCCAAGAACCAAGGGGGCCGAGCTTTGC